ATCAGGAAGGAAACCACCCCGGGGTTATCAGCACTGTTCCCAGCACAAATCCAAACTGAAGCCCCACACCAGCTATTAGAAAGAAAATTAACTCTATCCCAGCCACACCCAGCACACCACTCAATGTGCAAACACATAGATGTACAGTTCCCAAACTCCCCTTGGGCTTCTCCTCAATTTACCTTCCTATTCTTCAGCGAGGTCACACCTTAAATACTGTGCTCGGTTTTGAACACCTTAGTTCAAGAAGAACATTGAGTTGCTGGAGTGTGTCTGGAGAAGGGAGTCACCATCCCTGGAGATGTTCAAAAAAACGTGTAGATGTGGCACTTCGGGACATAGTTTAGTAGGCAGGGTGGTGTTGGGTTGACACTTGGACTTGATGACCTTGGAGGTCTTTTCCAACCTTAATGATGCTATGATTCTATAATTCCATGATTCTGTGAAGCTGTAGCCTGCTGCTGTCCAGCAGCCCTTCACCTTCCTGTCTTGCCCCTCCTTGGCCAAGGCCTTACAAGATGCAGGTGTTTGTGTTTGCCAAGATCCAGTCGTGTTTTTCTGCCAGATGTCATCTAGCCAGCAGCATGGGTCACCCTGTGAGCCAGCAGACCCAGGGAGGCTGGTAGGTCTGGGCATCGGGAAGGCAAGCAGGAGACAGGCCCAGCCTCATGCTGTAATCCAGGCCACTTTAAATTCAGAGGCTACTGTCTCATATTAATTAACAAAAATATGCATAGCAACCAGTGTGAAAGCACTCCAGCACCATTCCCACAGGCAGCCAGAAGCCTCCCCTTCGAGCTGAGACCTTGTGGCTCTCAGTGCACTGGTTTCTACTGGAAGTGGCCCTTCCCCAGGGCATCCTGGCTGTCCCACTGGAGGCTTCTGGACCTCAAACACCTGAAAGCCCCACACACTTCTGCAGGGCTCGGGGCTGTTTGTTTCTGCACTGAGGTCTGCTCTGTGCTTCATTAGCTCAACTTCACGTGTTCACGCAGGGTGTTTCCCCAAGTGATGGAACCTCACTCTGTTCCAGGAAATAATTACTCACACCAGCAACCAGCAAAAATCCTTGTGCGGGGTTCATCATACGCAAGATTTCTGCAACTGAAGCCCTCACAGTCAGGGATGGAAATAACCCCATGCACCAAGACAGGGCTCTGAAAAGAGGATGTGGGGACAGCAGAAGTGACAACGTCTCTCTCTGCCAGCTAAGAAGTGGCCGTGGCCATCAGACATGGAAACCTGTGATTATGAGCAAGGCCCCTCTCGCAGGCACGCAGGGCTACTCTGGCACTGCTTGGGCTCTTGGTAGCCATTGCCACCATTCCTCCACTCTGCTCTTCTGAGGGGGCAGGAGGGAGCTGGGCAAGGGGTGCATCCAGCCTCTGCTGGTGAGATCCTGGAGGTGGAAGGGTCCCTGGTGTGCAACGGGGCTGTCCTGGGAGCGATCAGAGCCAAACCAAGGTGGCCCTTCCTTGCTTAAAGCTTCTTGGGAGGGAAGTGAAGGTTGCTGCAGAGTCCCCAGTGCCACCTCTTGTAATAAAACCAGCCCTCTTCTGCTGGAATGACCCTGCTGCCTTTGGATGCTTTGTCTCTCTCCTACATGGCGTTGACCAAGCAAGCCTCAGCACGGGGGATGTGCTGCATCAGCCCCAGCCCAGCCAGGCTAACCTCTGGCTGCCTTCTGCTGGCCGGTTACCGTGTTGCTCGCTGTCCCTCTCACGAAGTTTTAAAGCCCTGCTTTGAGGCAATCAGAGACCCTAAGTGCTTTCTTTGGTGGTGGTTTAAGCACATTTTTAAACAAAACACTGCTTTGCACATCATAGGGCAATTTTCACATTGGCCCTTGGTTCTTCCAGCTTGAAGTAGTTTGAACCTGACTTTAAAGAAAATTCTGGTCTTGGTAAGTAAACTGAGGTCCGGACAATATCTTCTGGGGAATATTCGGTAACCTGCAAGACTTTCCACAGCAAAATCAGAAACCAGAAGCCTCTACCACCAAAACCAGGAGAGGAAACAGTAGGCTCAATCCTTCTCCTGCATCACCCCATAAGCAAGGGCACTGGCCGCTCCACTCAAGCCGCGGTCTCCCCCCTGAAGCAGCACGCGTGCGTGGGCATGCAGACATGCACAGAGCGGCCACAAAAACTGCGTCCCAGGGAGAGGAAAGGCAGACGACCCTGCGGCCGCTCGCCTGTCACTACGTGTCACACCAGTGAGCAGGGAAGGCTATCTGTATTTCTAATGGTATGTTTTGTGGCAAAGGCTTCTTTTATAGCACAGGCGCGCTGCTAAAACTGCCACCCATGCTGCCCTGGGCCGGCATCTGTTCCCGAGTCCACCTGCTCCAGGAAAAACCAGAAAACAACCCCTGCCTGTTCCTTGGAGCTTCTGCTGAACGATGGTTCTCATCCACCTGGCCACTCCAACTGCCTGCTCCGCCTGAGCAGAGGAACCATCTGCAGCTGCCAGTTCAGACAGGCTTCCATCTGCTGATGGCTTTAACCCTTCGGGGGCTGCGTTGGGGCTTGCAACGCTTGGATTTCACAGTCTGGGCTAATCTACTCCACTTCTGTCGCCATGCAATGGAAAGCCTGCATTTGGTATCCACTTCTGCAATTATAGGTGCCTCAGCTTTGGCTTCCTTGTGAATTGCTCATCACTGCCAAGTGAAAAGGGTAAGTTTGGGTAAACAACCTTTATTTCTGTCATTGAGAAGCAAATTTCCTGCCTTCCTGTAGGGAACCACACAGAGTTGGACGCTGGTTTCCCCTGCAGCCTCTGTACTGGTGTATCATGGGCTGCTTCTCCCCTGTGCCAGCACACCTTTCGGTAGGACCACAGTGACTTTCCTGCCTTTCCTACTCACTACTGTTAGAATAGAATCATAGAATTGTCTAGGTTGGAAAAGACCTTTAAGCTCATCAATTCCAACCACTAAACTAACCCTGCCATCCCACCACTAAACCATGTCCCTAAGCACCTCATCTATCCTTCTTAAATACCACCAGGGATGGGGACTCCCCCACCTCCCTGGGCAGCCCATTCCAGTGCCTGACAGCCCTTTCGGTGAAGAAGTTTTTCCTAATGTCCAACCTAAACCTGCCCTGGCACAACTTCAGACCATTCCCCCTCATCCTATCGTCCATTACCAAGGAGAAGAGGCCGACCCTCACCTCACTACAGCCTCCTCTCAGGTAGTTGTAGAGGGCGATAAGGTCTCCCCCCTCCCTGTTGCTGGGGATGGAAAGGTTTCACCCTGATCAGGTGGGAAAGGCCATGTACAGCCCTACAGATTTCCCTCAGAATTAGCCGCTTTGGGCAAATGCAACCACCATTTGTGTTATTGCTGCCTTCTACAAGCCAGCCAATGTTTGGCAATGGCCGAATGCCATATAGATATGAGTGGCTTCCATGGGGATGAGCCCATGCCCCCGCTCCTTGGTGGGCCAGTTGAGTGTCGCTGCAGGCACAAGGCAGAGGGCTGGATGGTGTGGTTGGGACAGTGAGGGTGCATTGCCCCTTTGGGCAGTGCTGAGAGGCCAGATGAGCTCAGCCCAATTGTCAGCCTGTGCTGGTGGGGTCTTGGGGTATCTCAGCCATCAGGAGCCTCCTGGAGGGAGGCAGAAGCCCGGACTGGCATTGCAGTGGAGCCTGGGAGGACCTCAAGGTTCAGATGGAAGTTCAGAGCTGGCCATCATTTCCAATTCAGTGGGTGCTTGGCCCTCCATGACTTTCCTTTACCTGGGCATGCTGTTCTGGACTGGGAGGAGCACTGCTCCAGGCCCAGGGTGCAGCTCTTGGCTGTGCATAACAGGGCACAGGAGAAGGGGCTGCCAGCACGGGAGCCCTCAGGGAGGCCCTGGGGGTGCCGAGGACCTGGCTGTTGAAGAGGAGGTCGGAGGGGAAGGTGGAGTGAGGTGCTCAGTCCGCAGCATGGACAAGAGACATGGGCAGCAGTCACAGCCAGCGGACGGGAGGATTGCTATGAATCGCTGTGCCCTGTGCGGGTGGACACGTGTAGGTGCTGCAGGGGAAGGGCGCATGTCCCAGGCTGCAGCGTGCCTGTGTGGAGGATCCTTCACCTCTCTGGCACCGCCTTTCCCACAGCCCCGAGGCGACCTGCGCATTTACCCGAGCAGGCCCTGATGCTTCTGGCAAGAGAAGCTCTCCGGCACCATCTGCAGTTGGACACTGCCTGCCCAGACCTGCCCTAAGCAAGGGCACATCTCTTACCCACCCCGGGAGGGCTTTGCCCAGCGTGCCCCGGTGCAGGCGAGAGGGCTGCCCAGCAGAGAGGCTCCCCTTCATTTCTCCAGTGACACCCATTCCAGAGGAGCCGCTGCGTGTGAGCTGGCCTTCAGCCGTGCTGTCTGCTTGCGCTGACCAGGCAGCTACAAAGCATTTTTACGTGACTGATCTCATGACACAGCATGTTGAGCAAAGCCTTAGAGCTCTAACATTTCCCACTCCTTGCTTGCATGGATGGATTACCTGCGCATGCTTTATGCTTGGAGGCTGGGGACATCTGCAGAGTCCGGGGCATACCTGTGACCTCCTGCAGGCCAAAGGCAGCCAGAAAAGCGGCAAAAATGATGCAAGGGTTGAGGAAGATGGGGAGACTGCAAAGGGGGGGTCCTTCCCCAAGTGAGTTCTTTCGGAAGAAGACCCACCAACAGACAGGGACAACCCTGCGAGACTGTTTCCTGAGAAGAAGGGAATAATGGGCATATCCTCCTTCCACGGAGGTTCTGGTCCTTCCTTGTACATTTGCCAACAGGAGAGTCCTGCAGAAAGCAAATGTTGCTATTTCTTTTACATAAGAAGGCATTTTTGACAAGAACGAACAGGAAAATTGGTCATGAATTGGTTGGTGTGGCCAGGGTGCTGCCTGTTGTTGACACCAAAGGAGACGTGCGGGGTGGGGAGCAGAAAACTATGTGAATGAAAAAGTAAACAGAATTCAAGAGATTTGCGTAAAGACAGAGCAAAGGCAAAGGGCTAAGCAGTCGTCGTGCCCACGGGCAGCCCATACAAGCATAGATTCTTCATACAGGTTTTTCTCCTTGTGGGAGTCCTGCTTTCTGGCAGCCAAAGATGTCCTGAGGTTGGCTGAGCACCTGAGGTACCCAGTGGCTGAGCTGGAAGGACCCCCAGCTCCTTGCCAGATGTAGGGTGGAGATATTCTCCCCTCTGGCCTCAGGCCAGCCCTGCAGACCCAACCCGGACCACTGGGAAACGGGGTGGGGTGGCCACTGAACCAGAACTACTGAGTGATGTATCATCAAAATGTATTTGCTCAGCAGGAGGGCTACAGTGGGTGGATAGTGCTTTCTATTCTGCAGCACACGGACGCAACGGGCTTGCACAGAGCTGAGCTTCTGGCCCTCCAGACCAGTTCAGACCAGCCCAGTACAGGCATGGGAAAGAGGAGTCTCCCTTCCAGCCATCAGCGTGCTGACCCCCGCAAGTGGCGGTTCATCGACGTGACATCAGCCATGCGCGTGGCGTTCCCTTACACGGACGCATCACTGACTCTTTACTGCTTTTTAAATTAAGTTGCCAGTATAAGCTGCCAATGGCCTCACTAAGCACGTAACCCCTCACCAATCTCTCTGCCTTCCTCCGTACCGGAGGCCATTTAGCAGCTTGCAGTTTCCTAGCACTCGTCGGCCTCCCACTCCAAATGAGTTATAAAAATGCAAACCCAGCCACAGTTGCATAACGGTTTATCAGCGCCTGCTTTCTGATCCAGCAGATACCGGATTAATCTCACTGGTTAAAGCTGAGCAGAGAGAGGCCAGGTCTCGCGCATCAGGCAGGTGTTTTCAGGTAGGCCGCTCTCCAAGACAACCACCAAAGGGGTGCTGAACCCCAAGAAGGCACCCAGAGCACCTCCCATGTGCTGCGGGGGTTGCACACATCTGCGTTGGGCAGTGTACGCTGCGGCAGGAGGATTACGCCATCTCCATTCATGGTGTGAGTAAATGCCCAGAGACTGATGAAGCCCTGAGTCCTCTACGATGGCGGTATCGCCTGTCCACACTACTGAGAGTGACAGAGGTGGACGCCATGCTGGTAAACTGAGGCATCTTCCCTGATGTACTGAGGGAGAACCGGCCTGCTCTCCTTGGTGCACGGGAAGAACTGTCAGCTAGTGAATTCACTTTGAACTCGCTGGTTCTTTCTCTGGATTCCATGGAGTTACATATAATCTTTGGCACTTGAGGGAGCTCAGAGGTTCAGTCAGAGCAGGCCCAGCTTTGAAATTCCTGCGCTTGGGCAGATTGCCCACCGAGCAATGACAACTCTCCAGCCAAACTGCGTACCACTCTGTCCCCGCTGCACCATGCAGGGCCAAGCTGAAGCTGATTTCCCTTTTACATGCAAGATTTCTGCAGACACTGGAAAATAAATTAGATCCTACAAAGCTATGATAATCTCATGCCTAAAAATGGAGTTTAGCAGTGTTAAGGTAGCCTGCAAATATTGCCAGCAACCTAAAGCTTCTCCTCATTTGCTGTAGCTCCTGCTCATTTACTCCACCCAAGCAAACCTCTTACATGGCTGCCCAAAACATTTGATTCTTGCACCTTCCCACCTACACCCACCCACAGTGCATGGGTGGTAGAGAAAGAAGTGACGTGATGCTGCTGGCCTTCAAAATTCCATACATGGCACACGTTGCAGGAGAGCGGGGTCTCTCCTGGTTTGCATGGTCAGGTACCAAACTCAAGACAGCAAATGGCTTCCTGTTGTAGGTTCCTGGTTTGCCAGGGCTGTCCCTCACGTTAAGGACATGTGGCTCCAGCACAAGTGCTACCTCAGCCTCCGGCACTTCACTGTTGTCACCAGCTGTGGACTGGGAAAATGTTTTCCAGTGAGACAGATGCATTGATAGGACCTGAAAGCCAGGTCCACCGAGCTACTCTATGAAGCTCCAGACATACAGGCATAAACATAGCTTCATGGTCATCTTAATTTTGTCTCAAGATCATTATAAAGCTTAATAAATTATCCTTTGTAAAATACTTTAAGATCTTGGGTGGAGCACACTTTGGAATTGCAGAAAGCATTCCTTTCATCTCCTTTATCACTCATGTAATATGCACAAGAGAGATTGATCCCAGGCACATACCTCTTCATCTCCACAGCCCTGTCTTCTCCCCTTGCATACATTTACTCTACAAACTTTACCGTTGACAGAGGCTCTGTCTTAGGGAATCCCAGCACCCCCAGATGTCCGCAGGATTTCTCGCATTATGGTGCAAGATGGGCTAATCCTCTTTCAAAGGTTTCTGCTTTAATTTTCTTCGCTAAAAACTGAGCTCCTAACACACCGGGCGTTTGTTTGTTTGTTTAAGAGAATAAAATTGAAATCTTAACCCATCTCCAGCAAGACCGTGACAGCGGCTGAGCCGGCCTGGCCAGACGTGAGGTACGTAACAGGTTACTGCAGCTGCCGGAGGAAAATATGTAAATAGCTCTATGGTGATGGGCACTGCGCCAGCTGCAGTTGGTCTGCGGATTTGAAAATTAGGCGCCAAATGGTTGTTTTGAAAAAAACACTGGGTTTGTTTTCATTAGGGTTTAAGATCAGTGCCAAGTTTTCTATAATAACAGCGCGGGGGTGTGAGCACTGCACGCTCCGCTGGTGTAGCAATGATCTAAGGGATTCGCAGAGCAGAGCTGGGATTGCTCCCGGCTGATAAAGCGAGCTTTGTGAACTTGGAGGAACTGCATTTCGGAGCCAGTCCCCACCCTCCTCCACTACGCTCTCCAAACTGCCAAATGGCTGAAAGAGACGGGGCTTGCTTCTGCTATGAGGGAGCCCGAACTCCACGGAGTGCTGAGAACCTGGGGCTACCCTGGCAGGCTGCGTTTTATCTTTGGATCCCTGAAAGTGTAACTAGAATGAAATTCAGCTCTGTACGTGAAAGTCAAATCTCGTAATGTTAGAGATTATTGGCCCAATATTTCATTAAAGGTGATATGAATAATTCCTTCCTTGATTTCAGATTAATTTTGCTATTTACATATATAAATAGCAACTAGTTATGCACACAAACACCCATGGCTCCATCTCCGCCGGCAGCCCAACTGGAAGGAAATGGGGATACTGCTCCTACCTGGACACCTCATCTGTTTTCACAGTGTTTTATTGCCAAGAAATCTGTCTTCCTATTACTTTGGAAGAATTCCCGAGCTATGGGGAGCCAGCGAGGGGAAGACTCCGTAGCTAAAGCTACACTGACGGCTGCGGTGTATCGCACACTGCAACGCTTCCTTTGCCCGATACAGGCTGTGCATGAGTTGTGCTGTAGAAAGCTTCTCCTTTGCTCTTTCTAGTGGCTCTTTTTAGCGGCTTTTTAGCATGTGGTATTATAAACAAATCACTGCATGGAAAAGTGACAAAGTGGAATTGTGGAAAGTTTAGGAGCCCTGAGCACTGCCCTCCCCCAAGCATCTTCCTTTGCCACGTTTCTGTTGAGATGGGGGCAAAAGCTGAGAGGGTTTTTAAGTGAAATTCTCATTTCTTCATATGAGCCCAGGGGCTGGCTCCAGTGCAAGAGCCCAGGGGGCCACCCAGGCACTCGCCTTCTGCCACAAAGGCGTGAACAATCCCAAGCACAGACCTGAATTCTCCTCCCCAGGCTTGGTAAATGCTTCCCCCAGCGTGATACAGGTTGAATTCTGCCTCAGTAAGGAGGGAAATGCTGTAGTAGAAGAATATTATTGTGCAAGGCTCCTGCCAAACATGATATGCCTGGGATTAGAAATAAATATGCCCTCTACACGCTACGGCGTGGTGTCTTGTCTTGAAAAAAATCCTTGTTCTACATGCAGCCTGCTGTCTGTTTGCTTTAATCCCACAACTGTGCACTGTGTTCCTCTTTTGTTTTTTTTCAGATGTCTCTTAGCAAACTTTCTCGTAGCAGATGAGGAGGATCTCATCCGTGACACATGGCATACTGTTCATTTTCTTTACTTGCTTTGGTGCTTTCTGTCCTGACGCTGCTGGAAGCAACTTTATTCAATGCAAGCAGAAATTCCAGAACAGAAATCTGTGGTGAGGTATGAGTGCTTCTTCCAGACTCGCAGTCGTTGCTAGCAATTTCTTAAGTACTAATGCTGAGCTGGATTGAATTTGGACTGATAGGAAAACGTTCTGTGCTAGATGTTCAATCCTTGCCCCTTCCTGAAATTCATTAAAATATTTGAGACAATTAATTAAACATTGACAGGCTGTTCAGAGTGAGATAAGGAACACGAGGCAGAGGGGAAGTCAGGCGACGACAGAAAAGACAGAAATAATCCTGCTATTAAAGACGTACAAATAATAAAGTATGTAATGAGAAAGGGGAGGGCATGGCAGCAGCTGCTGAGGAACTAAAGCAGTTGAGGTAAGAAATAGCGGAAATAGTGGAAATCCTGCGCCCCCAGATCTGTGAAAATGTCAGAGTCATTATGAAATCCCAGACAGCATCAGAAAACTCGTTACACCCAACTGTACAGGAAACTGGTCAATGGCTGAGAAGATGCTCTGCATCAAAGGATACACGAGGTTTTCCTGTGTCTTTATTACGCACTGTAAGTAACCTCTTTGTTCATCTGATGGGAGAAGCACTCCCGTGCTAGGCAGAGCCTATCACTGCTGCCTGTGTTATCTGACAGCCCCAAAATTTATTCTTCTCCTACCCAGACAGTCAGATGTATTGCAAGTACCTTTGAGCTAGAGCTCCGATACTGAGCCCAGGGCGCTTCCAAGTTCCTGACTTTGTATCAGGGTGAAGCCTGCACATGCACCAACCTTCTCCTGTGCTCTGCTTCCCACAACGGGTACGCCTGGGGGAGTGGGTGAGGCAGGAGCCCCCCAGGTTCCCAATCCACCAAGCCCAGGGAATGCAGCCCCAGGGATTGTCCTGGCCCTCTGGCACCCCAGTCAGGTAAGGCTGACACATCCCTAGATTGTCCCTTTTTTAAACACTAAATGATTGTGTCCTGGGCTAAGAAATCAATTTTACCTTCTGAAAGTAGAGAGGGAGTTTATTATAAAATTGTTTTGGGCAGCACTGAACTGTAAAGGTCCTTAATGAAAAAAGTAATTGCGAAATTTTGAGAGACAAATGACAACACTGACTCTGGCTCAGTACTAACCTGTATCATCAGAGTGATCCAAGAGTATTTGAGCAGATGCTAATTCCACAACTAAAGCATGTGTTGTACTCCCTGTAAGACACAGTTGTCTGGTGGGCTCTCGGCTTTTGCACTTCCCCTCCTCCCCTGATGCTTTCCTCTCCCCATCTCACCCCCAAACTGTTCTCTTTTAGTAGAGATAGGAAAAGTGAACATCCATATTCTGCTAAGAAGGAGGGGAGACTGGTGCTGAGGATGAAAGCATGCAAGTGTTCTGCAAAGGGAAAATGTAGAAAAAAATGTAGAAAATATGAAGGTATTACTACTGAGGCATATTTCAGGAAGTATATTTAGAAAAAAAAGGTTTTACTGCAACACAGTTGATATCAGCATTATCAAAATAACTGGTAACATTAGAAGGAAAAAAAAAACAACCAACCCAAACCTTGGAAACATTCAAAGTTTCTGAGCCATTACCTAAAAAATGTGACAGACAAGATAATGGGGGAGTTTGGGCTAAACTTCATGAACAAAGGGGATTTACATCTGGATTACATTATGAATCAAAATTAGGCAAAGGTTAAAAGAATTTCCAAAATATGACAGATGCACAGAGTATCACGTCAAATACACAAGAGGAGAAATGAGCTAACCCAAAAATGCTTACACAGAGGCTTTCAGCATTCCTAAAATATTTTTTTCTGGCTTAACGTAACCAAAGTTTATAACTGGTCTTCCACGAATTTGCTGGTGTTGGAAAGTGCACGTTGAGAGAGAAAAAGTTCATTCTAAGTGCACGGCTTTGACGCTCACACGCGTTTTGTTGCTCAGCTCGGTGGAAGGCAGCAATGTTTGAAATGGTGCAGACGGCAGGCAGGCAGCCCCGGGAGGC